CCATGATCAGAACAACTACCAGGCAGCAATGAAAGCTCTTAAACCAATAGGCTGAAACAAAAGACATGAAATCACCTAATGGAATTTGAGATATGCACAGGTATTGCAAATGAAAAAAAACTGAACACAGAGAACTGCGACTTTGGTTAGAAAATGTGAAACGATCTTTTGAAACAAACGTTGCTTACGTAACTAGACAGACATAATTAAGCGGCCATTCATTATAAAAACCGATTGTTAGTCAAAAACAGAAAACTTGAATTCGTCACTTTGTGTAAGATGGGCTATTCAATATTGAACTGGAACACTGAACAATGCACTCTACTGTGTACTTCAAATCCTTTTGAAGCAAATCGACTGACAAAAATTACAATACACTCGGTCGAAAACGCCTTTTATCATTTTTCAACAAAAATCATTCATTAACTTTGTCGGCTCATAGACAATAGCAAAACCCTATCAAGCTACTTTAACGTTGATAAAAACAAAAAACAGGCAAATTGGCCAAGATATACAATAGTAAAAACAGCCTTATCTATGAACGTAGCCAAACAACAGTTGAGAAAAAACAATGAGTAACTGAGAAAAAAAAACTACTGATTTTACATTTTAGACACAAAGTCAAAGCTCAGCTTGGCAAGCACTTGCGATACAAAAGGAGATAAAATAGTTATTTAAATAGAAAAAAAACTTTAAAAAAAATCCCTGGAAGAAGTAGAAAAAAACTTCATTTAAAAAAATCATCAGTTCGCGTCGGATTATTTTGATAAACAGTGTGAAAAGCATTGGGGATTAATTAACGAGTGGCAACTAAGCCGATAAAACTAGGGTTGACTCCAGTTAAGCCGAAAATAAAACTGTTGCCATAAAAAATTAGAGCAAAAACATTTTTTGAAACAAACATTTTTACTACACATTCCTCCTGAAACATACAAAAGCATAAAAAATTAATTTAACTGCAAGTACGCAACAGAAGGTGACTCACCCATTATAACACAAGCAGAAACCGTTCAATGGAAAAAATTAACATAAAATTATACTCAAAATCAGAGTTGATTAACTTACAAACTACAGGACAACTTTCAATTATAGATATACAGAGGCGAAACTGAGCTTCGCACCATTTGCGATACAAAAATTATTGCAAATTATTACATGCGAATGAAAATACAAATCAAAAAAAACTTCGAAAGTCGTTTTGTTTGTCAAAAATGTTATATAAATTGAAATAAAAGGAAAAAAAAATTCTGAACAAAATAACCTGCACCATTAGAAATTTTAGAAAGAGCTTTCAAAGAAATTCCAAGATTTGTCGCCTGAAGCAAGAGTGACCACTGCACCCAAAGCACAGAACAATCATTGAATTTATAAAAAAAAACCAACTTCTAAAAAATTTTAACACAGAGGCAAAGCTGAGCTTCGTACCATTTGCGATGCAACAATTATAGGATAAAAGCACCATGACGGTCAAAAACAAGCACAGAAGTTTGAACCATGGTACAATTGAAGGAAGTAGAAAAACAACAAAAAATGTTTTTTTTTCGTTATTTAAATTCATTTAAGTTTTTCAAAGAGGTCCAAGTGGGGTTGACTTTGGGCATTCAAAAACTGGTGTGAGAGTCTTATCGATGTCAAAACTACTACCGCACATTATAAGGAAAAAACATGGAAAAAAGCCGAGAGAATTAAAGTCGACAGCGAATAAGATGAAACTCGCCGAAAACTTTAATAAAAAAATATATTGGAAAAACTGCATGTAACGCCAACATAGGAGCTTCTATAGCCAAATAAGAAAGACATGCAAAGTGGTTCACATAATTTGGAATTTAATCCGACAGAGCTTGAGTCGACAACCACAAAGCGGAAAAATCATATCAAAACTAATATTATATATACAATGGTTTGAATTCTAGATATAGCTACATATGATAAATACAGCAGAACTTCGCACCAATTGCGATGGAAAAAATGTATGTCTAGAAAATCAGATTCCAAAAATTTGTGAAAACACTTTTGAAAATCAAAGTAGAAAAAAATTAGTTTGACTACAATGACGTTCTAAACAACTCACCTGAAAAAATTTAAAACAGTTATAGAAACAACCAATTATTGAAAACGATTAACTTCAAAAACAATTACAAAACAATTCAAAATCTTATAAGTATCGTTCATGCAATAGAAAAGAGACTCTTCTAAGAAAAAACAAATGATTTTGAAGTTCTGAAGCCAAAAAAAACGCGCATTTTATTGCCTAAAAAAGCCAAAACAAGTTTAAAGAAAAAGAAAACTGAACAAAACCTCCGCCAAAAAAACACGCAATTTACCTAATATTGTGAAAAAAAGACCTAAAAGCGGTATCATTGGGCCATTTTAAAAATGACTGAGTCCGGAAACGTATCAAAATTATCTGGAAGTGAAATAAAATTATTAGGAACTCTTTTTTTCTAAATTTACAATGGAAAAACCTTAGAAACTAAAAATTATTTCCTTGCAAACTACTTTTGACTTTAACAGTAGTTTGTAAGGAGGAAACTACTCCTCATCAAAATTTAATGAGGAAAAGTAGCAGACAGCAACTCAAGTTGACAGGAGTAAAACAACAAATGCGTCTAGCAATTTTGAACACAAATTACCGAAAAATTGAAGTGATTTAATTCTGCTTTGACAGGACTTCAGGCTTGCTTGGATTTGATTTTTCAAATCAAATCGCTACCTTGAAAAAAAGGTTACAATCCAATGAGAAAAAAAATAAAAATCCAATGTCAAAAAAAATTAACAAAAATTGTGCAAAAAAACTAATGAGCTACTTTATCTGCACCAAAACGAATGCGATTTTTACAACCGATCGAACAACTAAAAACATAAGTTTGAACCAATTCTGTTACTTAAGAAATTGAAAACAAAAGAGACTAGAAGATTGATTTTTTACAAAATTTCAAATTAGAAATCAACCACTCCCGCAAAACCAAAAAAAAGAGCTATTAGCTGAAACGAACTTCCCATATTCACAACAAAAATAAGGGTAAACTAGATTTTCGAGAAATTGAGCATGTCAGCAGTCTGCAAGTTAGCAGTCGTGAAATTCTCCATTCATATTGAAATTGACCATTCTGTGAACAAAGTTGTAAACGGTAAAAAAAAGTCTAGAATCCTATTGCAATACTCTTGCTTATCGCGAGGGTAACAAAAAACAAGAATACCATCAAAAAAATAGCAAAAATTCGTTGACTCAATTACGTGCCCAAAACCGAAATTCACTAAAATTATTTTCGATTTAAATGAAAACGCCTAGGCAAACTTGATGCTGTCGAGACTCAGCCGATAAAAACAAACAGACATTTTGACGCGAGGACAATTTTACGCTTTCAAAAAAAATGGGTCCTGGCCGGATTCGAACCAATGAAATTTGCCTGCACAAGCAGGTGCGTTAGCTCTTTGCCACATGCCCGAAATAAAGTCTGATTTTTAATTTAATATGAACCAAAGGTATATTGATACAAGTGATTCTGTTAAACTAGTTATTAACCCGAAAAAATCTTTGTTCCGATTCGATAACGCTTGCTAGAGTAAAAAAACTGTTCAAACCGGAATCAAAATCTATGCTTTGGAAAAGAAGCGGGTAAAAATCTGTACCAGACAACAGATTTGCATTAAAAAAAACGGACGTTGAGCTGACAAAAACTACGATGAAAACAACGAACCCCAAAAAACACGGAGTTTTCTCTATAAACTTATTCGGAAAAAAATAAATACTACCAAAAAGGAACTCCATGGTTATATTTGAATTTTCAGGAAATTAAGCATGTCACAGAGGCGAAGCCACGCCGCGAGAACACGACAAAAAAGCAGGGTTACAAAGTGAAATGAGAAGTATAAACAAGCAGCGAATTAGAAAAAAAATCGCTACGTATCGGATTCGAGCTTGCAACCTCGAGATTTTGAGTCTCACGCCCTGCCCTCTCGTCCACGAACATATGTAGCTGCTTTATTTGTGACCAGTAATCGCTGATTTTTAATCGCCAATGCGAAGCAGCAAAAGTGGCACCAAATACAAACAGACACAACTTTGCATGTAATAACTTGGAATATAACAAACTGAAGGCATCCACACGAACTTTGCCTGTTATAAATTCGAAAGCTTAGAGCCACATTGTGTATAAATTATGCATTTCAAGAAACTGAGATATACTGAGTTACAAAATTTCTTAAATCAAGTTTTCATTATTTCTATGTTTTTTTTGCAATTAACTTTTTTGGTCCATTTGATAATTTAAAATGCATCAACTGTGTTATTTTAATAATAATCGAAAATTAAAGCACAAGATATCAAAAAGCCGTAGGTGCCATCCAAATTAGCACCAATATTTGCTACTTACGTTGGAAAACAAAAAATAGTCGTACTATTACACTGAAACGCTCACTAAAGTTTGCATGTTTAAAAATAGGTTAAAATAGTTGCACGTATTTCTTTATTTCTATCTTAATTACCGGAAAAAGGCTAGTTCCCGATTGCAATACACTTGCTACCGCAATTTTAATAAATTAGGTACCGATTTCCATAGAGGAAGTACACTAGCTCACTGAAATTTCAAGAAACTTTGATGAGTAAAATTTATTGATTTAACAACCTATTAAAAAACCGACAAATCACTAAAATCTACTTTTTGCAATAAAATTGAAACCCAATTTTGCCGTCATTTCTATTTTGATTTTCGAGAGCGGAATTTTAACCCCATTGCTAACTAAATGAAGCAAACTTAAGAAGAAATCACGACCAAACCCTTTATTAAACCAAAAATACTAACGAAAAAAAATTAGCACCCGGCGAATTGCAAAAGTCAAATTATGTCAATGCATCGCCAGTTTTCAGAAAACCGAAAAACCACAAGGCCTAAATAGGAGAATATTCACTTCGTTAATTAACACCATGCTGACTTATAATTCAAGAACTCTTTTAATTTATTTGTCATATATTGAGGAGAAAAAACCACTTATCTCACCTTGAGCGACTGTCTTTTGGTGACGTAGTTGCCAGAATCCAAAAGCACCTTGTATTCAGAGAAGAACTACAAACAGCAGCATTTAAAACATCAGAATACGCCGATCAAAAATGAAAGTATTGTACATACGCGGTCGTAATTCGCCTCTAAAAAACTAGCTGCCACTTGTTTGTGAATTGTTAGCATGTCCTAAACACAATGACGAGGTTAAGGTACACTAAGCACAGCTAGCAACATAAATCCGATGATGAACTAAATTGTTTCTCAGCTTAAAATTTAGATCGAATTTATAGCTTATAATCATATTTCTAATGTCGGCGTTCCAGTAATTCCTAAAAACAACTGCATGTTCGCGAATAAATTGACATTTTTTTTAATTCAAAGGATCGCTAGCATTTTCAGATTCGACATTTTTTCTGCTTAGCTATATTGAAAAAGACTCACTTTGAAAGAGGAGAATGCGTCCGAGGATAGATCGAAAGGTTGCATTTCGACATATTGGAAATACGTGAAGAACTTCTCAGAGTTGAGCATGACACTAGTCAGATCACTCGAGTATTTGATGCAGTACCTCAGCATCGTCCCACAAGTTAGAGCTACCTCCTGGCCCCTCTGGTAACAGTCCATCAAGGCATAGATGAGCTCCGGCATTGCTACGAGGTAGTCTATAGTAGGCTTATTCGTCCCAATTTGCCGCGTAATCATGTGGTAGAATATTTCCGTGAATAGTTTTCTACTCTGAGAAAGACAAAAAAAATAATTCAAGGTTGATTAATGACAAATTGAAAAAAAAAATACTTGATCAATTACCATGATTTGAAATATTTTTGTATGTCGAACGTGAGCAGAACCATATCAACTTCACAAGCAAAAATAAACTTACTTCAAAACCAATTTTATCCAAGTCCAAGATAAGTGCCTGGAACACACCTTTAGTGTGTATTTCATTGCACACTTGCAGAACAAGATCCGATGAAGATTCTTCACTGGACAACATGGCCTAAATTGACATCATATAATTATTGACTTCATTGAAAAACATCCTGTTAGACATTTCCTGTTACCCCAACAATCAGCGCTCTATATCTAACCAATAATTCCACGTCAAAATGCCTAATAAAGTTGCACGTCGGAAATCCAAGCAACAAACGGCAAAGGAAGGTATAATCTAGAACCCCCTCCCACATCACACGGAGAGATCAAAAAACATTGTTTCGGATAAACCGTACATTTTCCCCCCAAATCGATATAGCAGGGGGAAGAATATGGATTTTTCATGAACAAACTTTGAGTATAGCCTAGACTCATTCAAAACTAACATTTTTATTGAAAAAAATTGCCAAACAGAGCCGTAGCTGAGCTTCGCATCAACTGTGATACAAAACAAGAAAGCCGCTAAGTCAGAAAAAAATATATTCGAAAAAACAAGATTTATCAAAAAAATAAGGCTAGTTTTCAAATTTAAAAAAAAACATGCCAAGAAAAAAATGTGAAATAAGCACCGGAAGAAAATTTATCAAACGGTAACAAAGCGAAAACAAATACCTTGGGAAAAACCCTTTAGGCCGAAAAAAAATCAACAAGACTCAAGTTAATAAGTCCCCCTCGCCCACAAAACACAAACACGCATACATAATTTTTTTTCGCTCGTCGAACGACGCAATTAAACCGATATAAAATGGGCCAAAACGTATCAAGCCGAAAAAAAAGAGAAAGCCGGTAAAAAATTGTTGTCATGAGAAAACTTGAACCAGAATTTCGGTTAAGATTTTTAGCCTTTTGTGCGATCCAGAGGTGAGCATAAAAATTTTATATTCCTTGAAGCGAATTGAATTTAGGTCAGAAAGCCGATAAAAAAAGGCCGAAATCATTTTGGCAGAAGGAAGTTTAACATCAGAGGTAAACCAGAACACTAAAAGCAACTATAATGTAAAAAAAAGCCGACAAAACATAAGAAGGCAAATAATGAGCCGACAATTTTTTGTGAAACGGAACATTTCCCGTTTGAAAAAAAAAAACAGATCTTGTCAGATTCGAACCCAGGACCTTTGCCGTCCCAGGCATATTCGATAACTCCAGACCAAGTGTGCTGGAGACACGAAGAAATTAGAATGAGTTAAGAACTGAACCTTAATTTACCCATTCTAATTTTGACCATTCTGTGCCTAAAGTTATTTACGGTAAAAAGTGTAGTACCCGATTGCAATACCCTTGCTATCGCAAAGGTAATAAATTAATAATCTAGGATTAACAGCCTAAACATGCAGTCTCGCATGTAAGAATGTATCTATTATAGATTCGGTTGTGGTCCCGGGATTACTCCCGTAAACAAAATGAGTTTGGCTGTTCAAATTCTCCTGGAGATAAGTTCGTCGTAGTTTGTTTCAAAGTGCCTCCATATGTAGAAAAAATTCGCTTTTCAGCCCTATTCTGTCTGTGAATTTATCACTCCTTGGTAATCGGTTGACAAGCGCACCTGCTCTGAATAACGAAATTCTGCTCGCATTTGAATAGTCGTGGCTTGCGTTCAAAGACGATGTCATTCTCGGATCTCAAATCATGCGCTGGGTCTTTCAAACTCACATAATCGCTACAATCGAAACCGTACGCGCCATTAATACATTTGTGCAATAGCAGAAGATTTTGTAAATATAAGTATAACGAAATAGTCAGAATATAGGTCGCATGAATATCTTTGTAGCTTTCGTTCACATCGTAGCCATTGTTTATCCACTTAGCACATTTCTTCTGTATAAATTAATCATTTCAAAAATCTCGCGAAATATGTTGAGTCAATAACTTTTCAGATTAAAAATTGTAATTACGACAATGTTTAGATATTGAAATTTGCTCGCTTCACCTTATTTTACGGTTTAACAACCATTATTGGGTTGACTTATTTGTCATCAAAACCCACTACTGGCATTTTTTTTTTAAATTTTCAACCTTAAAATGGTGAGGAAGGTTTAAGTTGCAACAAAACATACAACTTTTTTGAAAATATACTGCGAATTCTTTCTGAATGGCGATATCATAATTATTAACCGATTCGAGAGCTCTACGTGTCTAATTCTCAAAGGACCTGGTTATTTTCAAGGTACCACTCTATCATAGTAGTACCGCGAGCTTCTATTCAACATGAACAAAACCCTCAAACCCTCATGGCCCACATTTAAAATTTTATTAAAACTTAAAATTTTACAAAACAACCTGAGACTAGATAGTATAAGAGTAAGATTAGGATCGGTATTAGACTAAGAAGTTGCACGAATCTATCCGGCCGAAAATAAGATAGCGTGACGAGCAGACGGTGTACCCTATCCGAAATTACTCTATGAGTTAACCAACTCGGTCATAACTCATCTGGTGCGACCAGTGAGGCTCTCCCGAGCACTTCAGCAGCCGCAATAAACCAGTATACCCTAGATCTATTGAGCCTAGCAGAGACTAGTTAAACAACCTGAGACTAGATAGTATAAGAGTAAGATTAGGATCGGTATTAGACTAAGAAGTTGCACGAATCTATCCGGCCGAAAATAAGATAGCGTGACGAGCAGACGGTGTACCCTATCCGAAATTACTCTATGAGTTAACCAACTCGGTCATAACTCATCTGGTGCGACCAGTGAGGCTCTCCCGAGCACTTCAGCAGCCGCAATAAACCAGTATACCCTAGATCTATTGAGCCTAGCAGAGACTAGTTAAACAACCTGAGACTAGATAGTATAAGAGTAAGATTAGGATCGGTATTAGACTAAGAAGTTGCACGAATCTATCCGGCCGAAAATAAGATAGCGTGACGAGCAGACGGTGTACCCTATCCGAAATTACTCTATGAGTTAACCAACTCGGTCATAACTCATCTGGTGCGACCATAAGTCTCGAACAAGACCTTAATAGCTTAGAATTAACCAAAATAGATTAGAAATTAGACAAAAACATTTACAAAATGTTATACGACAATAATTTAATCGAAATGTCTCTACGACTCAATAGATCAGAGCCAATATTCCGAACCATAACAGAACTACCCGGAATTGGAAGAAGACCTCGAACCAGAGACGACATACGACAAAGTAGAAACTTGCCATATAGCTATATGATAGTTAGGCAAAAACCAGAACAAACTTTTATATTTAGAATACTACTGGCAATGAATTTAGATTTTCATTTGCAAACATAAAACCTTGAAGTTAATCTTCAAAATCATTTCAGGCGCTAAACAAAATTATTAATATACAATAACGATTGATAAAAAGATCTAAGATCGTTTTCCTAAAACTCTGCAGTAATATACAAAATATGTTTGAAAAATATTTATTGAAAAATAAAAAATAAAAATTAGTAGCATGACAATAAATGGTTAGTAATCATAAATCATCCTGTTGTTCCAGCTCCATCACCTAAAACATAACAGCAATCATAAACCCACTAATATCATCAAAACACTAAATTTTTCCTTTACACATTTAAAATTTTATTAAAACTTAAATTCACTTAATTTTAAAACCAGATCATCAAGGCTTATCCTTGGATCTTAAATCATTTTCTACTTAATTAAATTTCAAATTTGATCATCAAGGCTTATCCTTGGATCAAACAGAACAACTTTGTTCTCCCCCACCCACTTAATTAGTGTCTAACGACCTCAAACGTCGATTCACTACCCAACCCTTTCTAAAGACCTAAGACTAATAGAAATTTTTAAACAAAACTAATCATTCAAATTAGGATAAACAGTGAAGAACTTCGGTTATTCATCCTTCACTTGATCCCCCCTCTTAACAGACCCAGGATAAATCTTAGACTTAGTAAGTTTAAAATAGTATCTAACGAACTACTCGCGTTCTAATTATACCTGAACCTTGTGGATCGATTTACTATTCTCCAACCCTTGAACACAATCACTACCCCTAAGTAAGATTAAGTAAGTTAACACCTTAACTTATACTAGCCACGAGAAAGTAAAAAATCATTCTTCGGAATCGATATACTTTTCTCTCCAACCCTGAACAAATAGACCCAGGTTAAGCTAACCAAAAAATCGTAAGAACTAACAGTTTAAGAAAATAGAAACCATTTAACAACCTTTTGCATCCGTCATCCTAAACCTTATGTCATTTAAAAACCTAGGAAATAAACAAACAATCGTTTTACACAATTGTGAAATAGATAACAAAAAATACGACCTTGTAATCACACCTCATACACAAACAGTTGGATACATTCGAACAAAACGACAAACACTAAAAAGAAAAATAATAACGAAACAAAGACAAATAACACGAAAAAGATTTTCAAAAAATCGAAACGCATTTTCAGAATCAGAAACCAACAGTTTAGACGAACTTTACAAACTAAAAGAATCAATAGATAAAAATTACCCACTTCACGATCAATTATATTTTTCTGACTCAGAAACAACTTCAAATTCATCAAAAAGAGGAAAAAGAAGAATAAAAAAGCAGTATAAACATAAAACAGTACATTTATACAATTGGAATCAACCAATTCGACACATTAATAATTACATATTAACAGTCATCAAACGAAAAAATGAGCTCAACGCACACCCCAGGTGAAGAAAGTCCAGATGATGATGAAATCTTTCCTTTTATAGTAGATGCAGATACTGATAGAGGACAACACATATTTTGTCAAAATTTACTCGTAAATTTATTTGAACCCGGAATCAGTCCATGTAAAACAGAGTTCCCCGATGTAAAAATCAAAAGACAAATCATAGACCACTACTTAAAAGATATATGCAACATAACACAACAGTATGGAATCTACTCCATAGAATTCACCTCACCAAACCATAATAATAGAAAATATACAATTCAAACAGACGATCTTGATTTAGAATTTTCAAAAGTTTTTTCAGAATATATAAAAAGCATCCAATATCATAACTCACAAAGAGCAAACTCCATATTCACCAATGAAGTTTTCGCAATAATATATAGTTATATTTCGATATTAGAAAACGAAATCCCA